TCGCTCTCGTGGTCATCCAGGCCAGCGGGTACAGTTGCTGACAGACCGCCAGAGTCAGGAACGGCAGTGGTGTCAGCCCCGCCTTCAGCAGCAAGAACAGCAGGTCCTGCGTCAGACGAGGAACCAGGCATACCACTGCCACCGTCAGTCCCAAGGCCCAGGAGGTCAGTGTCGACAGCCGACGGCAGATCACCACCTTGGTCAGGTGCTTTCCAGTCACAAAGCACAGTGGGGGCAGACGACTCGGCATCGCTGTGCTCGTCCTCTTCAAGGATCTCCTTAGCAACAGAAACCATTCGGCGCAGTTCACCCCGAGGGATAGCCTCCAAGGTGGCCGTCAGCATATCAGTCTCCGCCTGTGCGAGGCTGCGGGCTCTGCGAACGTAGCGCGAGAGAGGCACCAGCGACATGACCAGCACCAGCCCAACAGCTAGACAGAGACAACAGAACACAACACAACAAAAACAGGCACTTAAGCCAAAATGGCCGCGAGGTGGCATTAAAGTGACTTGCAGGCAAAGTGTACATAATCTTTGAATGCCCCTGGGAAGCTTGTGAAATGCGGGTAGCCATGGTGGTGTGAATACTTCTATCAGCCCGCACAGAAACTGGGGGAGCGTCCCTCGCCTGCTTCTCGGATTCTGGATTTCAATGTGGAAGGGTTAGTTCAGAGTTTGCTGTCCTAATCTGTTCTCCGGTCCAGCTTCCGCTCTAAACGGCGGAACAGAACGTGCCATGCAAAAGGACACTTAAGATTTGAGGACGCAAAGCACACGCTGTACTAGCTCTTTCCCGCTGAGCATCGGTTTTTCTGGAGACCTCGCCCTTGATGTGGTAAACGTGCAGAGGGCTCATCTCCTGGGACCAGTCTCTGCTCTGCCACTTTATTGCTAGAGTTCCGTAGGAACCTCCAGAAGCTTCAGCTGGAAACCGGTTTCCAGCAGCCCCTGCGTCTCGTAAAGAGGATTCTTGCGCAGATCCTCTGGTAGCTTGCCTCCAAAGCACCACAGCAGAGCACACTGACTCACGCTCTGCTCACGCCACGCCCAGGCCTGGGCTTTCCATCATTCGTGTCACCTCTCGTTGCGTCCCGTCGCTCCCCGTGTCCCGTCGCTCCATGTCGCTCCGAATTCTGAAACTCAAACTCTTGAGTCAAGAAGCAATGACATTGCAGAGTTCCTGTGCTTCGGGATTTTCGAGAGGAACGAAGGCCAAGGCCTTTCTGCCATTCGTCTTGTCCTCGCCCAGTGCTGAAAGCAGTTGCTGAAAGAATAGGACGGCTTCAAGACTTCGGCGCCTTGCTGAAAAGCAGAACTACAGCCTGGCGCAAGACACAGAATCTGCTAGTGAGCGCAGTCCCAGAGCCCGGCCTGGTAGCCGCGGTCCCTTGCCAAGACTTGGGCTGCTTCCACAACGGAAGATGCTTCACCCGCTTTGGCACAAATTTCTTGAACCGTGCCGAAGATGCTGGCAAAGGCAACCTCTGCTTCCAGAGACTGGCAAAGAACGCACCACAGCTGAAACCTGTGACGAGCAAGCCGGCTGCGTGCTTCCAGGCGGCATTTAGCCCTCGCAAACATACTACTTTCGTATCTAGCAACATCAGGTCCCGCACCGACAGGTGGGACACGTCTTTCCGTGCGTGCATGAGCTCCTTGTACCTTGGTAGGACATGCAACACCTCGCCTTTCGAGAATCGCAGCCCTGAGGAGCACACCAAGCTTTGGTCCCTTTCACCGGAACCAAGCCTTGGAGCTGCTCCAAAGCTGCTCGATCCCTGTCCGTACCTGAGACCAATCCCATGCTGCACTTTGCAAGATATCGCTGCTGTTCTGAACCCAGTGCTGGCAAAAATCCTTTCTTTTCTTTCTCGTCAAAGTTTCGACAATCAAGCAGGATGACTCCCGCTAGCAAAGTGACCAGTTCCCTGGACTTCGCAGAGCTCCTGTCGTGTCGTCGTCTACATGCCAGGAAATTTCATGACCTTCAGCGGGCCTCTGAAGAAGCTGCTCCGTCACCTTTCAACGATCCGATGACGGCACTTGTGTTGCCATTAACTACTTGCTCGGCACTGAGGCAATGACAAGTGAACAGCACGATCCCAACCCCTCGTCGATGTCATTGCGAGCATCAGGATACTGGATACCACCAGCATGATGGTCGAGTACCTGCGCAATGACTGGCACTCACCCAGTATTCATGCACAACGAGAACCATCAAGTACTAGAACACCCGATCATGGTTGCAGGTAAGATCCCGGCCCACTCTACGCGCCCATCAAAGTGGCTGGCAACTGGCGAAGTCATCTTGTTGTGGTCTGTCAGCACGACAGATCTTCCCTCCAGAGCGTCCACAGCAGGCCAATCTATCTCATCCCAAAAGTGGAGATGAACTGGGCTTCCATCCTGGGTGCTGAGAGCTGAGCAATACTTCAAAGACACAGCTGCAATGAACTATGCCTCGTATCCGCCGAAGCTTCGGCGTCTAGATTTGATAGCCATTTTCCCATCCCTCAACTCCCAAACCCGGAAACCCTACACCCTAAAACCCCACACTCCGAATCAAGAAAATCCTAATCCCTGAGCCCGAGCGAGGCGGGGCGGGTGGCGTGGGGATTGGGGTGGTTGGGTGAGTGGCGTCTAGGTTCCAAGGCGTCATGCACATGTTAGTGGCGATTGTAATTCAAGGTGACCGAGGACGGTAGGCGTATGAAACTTGACAGGTTCCGAAAGAACCTGAAAAATAAACACGTTCTAGGGCTCGCTCGCAATTTTCACGAAAATCATTCAGTCCTCCCAAAAACAAGAAACAAAAACACACCACGATCGACTGTAACCCTTCTCACTCACCACCTTCTTGAAACACTGAGCGAGCACTGCCCGTACTTCCACATCGACACACGTGGCTCAACCATCAGACCACACCATAGACAGACTGGTAATCCATGTGATGACCCCTGGTGCGGTGTTACATCCGGGCGGCTTGGCCCGAGTTGCATCCTCTGGCACTTCTGCCAAGTGCCAAAGAAGCCGAAGGCTCTCATAGAGGCGCCGGTTTGCGCTTCCATCATGGAAAGGAGATCTTCACCCGAGCGAAGGCGAATCTGCGTTTTCACCAGAGCACTCGGGTTTTTGGTGTTCAGGGTTTTTAGGGTTCAGAGCCTGCAGCTGAGGTTGCGCGGTATTGATATATGCTGAAAGTGCAGCATAGTACAAAAGTTTGTGTAATTTACAGAAACAGGCGCTCGAACTCAACACGGCTACGACGAACCTTTTTTTGGAGCCATTTCTGAGAGTGTTGCACGTCTCTCTTGGTCCGTCAGCGGTGTATCTGCAATGGAGGTGACGAACGGCTTCAATTTCTTTATCCGTAAATAGGTGAGAGTCCGAAGCCTGATGAAGATGATTTCTGAGCCTCGCCGTCACCATCACCATCACCAGCGGCGGCAGCGCCAGCGGCAGCAGCAGCAGCAGCAGCAGCAACAGCAGCAGCAGCAGCAGCAGCAACACCAGCACCTGGGTCGGAGTGGACGTCCTTGAATCATTATGGACGTTAGCTGGGAATGGATGATGTTCTGGACTGGAAATCCGAAGGAAGCACCGCAAATAATCACCGATGTTTTCGGCAGAGCAGGCAGAGGAAACGTAAATACCGAGCGTTTCGGCAAGCGAGGGAACCCTCAATTTGGAGGTGCTGGGAACACCAACGGCACCGATATAATCGGCATGTGGGTTTTGCGCTTTTGAGCCAACAACAAGTACCAATTAGCCATGACCCTTCCGCATGCTTTGTTCTGTCAAGACTCTGCCACAACCTTGCTGCCGGCCTCCTTGAAAAGTGCCAGCGCATCGCCTCGCAATCGAAACTCCTCTCGGGGAATCTGCGCCAGAGCGATACCCTGCACGTCTGGACTTTCGAGGAGCTGGGCCATAACATACCTTTCGAGCCAGGCAGTCCGAATCCCGATCCCAAAGAATCCCAGAATTCGCGCGCTGCCCTTCAAACATGACTATATGATGAATGATCAATACGATCGATGTAAGGTAGTCACTTCGTCTCATCGATTGGGACACTGTGGTTGCCCGAAGCATTATGAGAAAAATATTTCGCTCTAGCATGTGCTCCACGAAGCAGGGCACTTGTGTCGGCCTCACAAACTGCATTTCGTTCCTGAAGCAGGCTTGCCACAGGCCACAGAAATTCTACAAGTTGCGGGACTCTACCCGTCCACAACGAAGCCTTCTGAAAGGTGATTGAGCCTTGTGTACTGCGAGGGCCGAGGGACGCTGACACCAGGGAGTCAACGTCGGCCGCTTCGTTCCCGACAACAAACACGGGCCGTCTGCTATCAACGCCGAAAGCTGGACGTGCCATCCTGCGTGTGGCAAATCCCCAGGGCCGAGAAAATGTCAGCATGGTTCGGCGGGTAAGGGCTCCTGCTACAGAACCTTGCCGCGCAGCTGCTGGCAGCGCACGCCAAAGCGCCGCGACAGCCCAAGGACAGTTGCAATGCCACCCGAGTCCGCCAAGTCCACGAGGTCCAACGATCCTGATGGCTCAGGCCTGTCATCTATGCAGTCACAGCACGCGAAAGAAGATCAACTCTTTTTTGCAATAGTGCCTGCACGGCCTGATCTGCAGGATGGTCGTGGGAAGGCACGGTACCCCGACAGGGAAAATGCAAGAGCCATGCCAAGCTGGTACCCAAGCCGAAAGCCGGTGAGCAAAGCACTGTTGAAGGTACCAAAAAGGCTTCGCACAGCCCATGCAAGCGGGACAAGTCCTGAACTGTTGCTAGCCTTGGGCTACAGACGCCATCCCAGATGCACGCCAAGCCCATGATCCGACGAAAGTCTCATCTCCTAGGAAGAGGCCATCAGCCTTTTTAATCGCTTCAGTTGCATGGACAGCGACGATTCAGATGCCAGCTCACCATGAGCAGGCTCGAAGTGAACGCCACAAAAAAGGTCCCTGCCATGGCCATGGCACGTCCACGTGAAAGAAGGGCTGTTCATGTGCCATGCAGCGCCTTGCCTAGGAACTCGGCGAAATATGTAGCAAAGGGCAGCACATACTCGGAAAGCTGTACTGTCATAACCTCAGCGATGCAAACGATTCGACCTAACAGGCCTTTATGGCCTGCTCACCTCTTGCTCTTGAGCTTCTGACCTCGTTACCGGATAGTTGGCCCGCGGCGGGGGTTCTGCCTCATTGCGTAGCTCTACACAGCCGGGAGTCTGAGTGCAAGACGTATCGATAAGCTTCCATCGGGGCTTCGCCGCTTCAGAGCCCTAGCCGAGACGTGTTGAGACCAGGCATAGCGAACATTCCCAGCCGGATGGCCTCTACAGCCGCAATGGCATGAGGCTCAGCCTCGGCATGTCCGAGAGTCGTACGGAGCGAAATGCAGCTTCAGAGCAAAATCTAAGCGGCTCGCAGCTAAGGAATGCCAGCTGCACCACGGGAAGCAATGAGCTGGACTGCGGACGGTTCCATTGAGACACATGCGGTCGGGACTTGTACAAGTCTTTTTGCGAAGGAGCTCGTCCCGGCTCTAGCCACAAGCCTTAAAGCACTCCCGTAATCGCGCATTTTGATGCTCTGCTCTGCACTGCGAACTCGTCAGCACACTTCACATCGCGCATCGTCGCGCTAAGGAATGCAGAACTGTTTGGTGTTGTTCCCGCTTGGTCTCCGTCCGATATCTCGTGGCCAGGTCTCACTCACCACTCTCCCACTCTGCTCCTGCCTGGGATGGCAGTGGCGGCAGTGGCCCAAACGGCTTCTGTCCAGGCTGTGCCACTTCCAGGCCATGCGTCACAACATCAGCAGGGGCAAGCCAATTGTGGGCCGAAGTGCCCATTCAAATGGCATGCTTCGACATATCTGCCACCTGCACTTCGGCACTTCGCCCTGAGGTAGGAAGCCAGCCACCAAGGTCAGGTAGCTTGATTCTTTTTGCTCGATGCCACCATCACCGTGATCTTGGCCATGTTGGCTACCGTCGGCCAGAGGGGGCTGGCACCTGAACCCAGCCGTCACTCGCCGCGGGGCCGCAGCCTGTGAGTACGATGAAGTTGAAGCTGGCATTCGGCAATGATCTAGCTCAAGCCAGGTCGTAATCGTGCACGAAGGCCAAACCTGCTCAACATCTCTCTCACGCATATTCTCATTCCAATATCACAGCACGGCAAACGAGACATCGCATCTGTGAACCGCTAGGTGATTCATGGTGATTTTGTCAGTCAGTATAATCCCTTTAGGCACGCATGCCTGTAGTCTCTGCTTTCAGTGATCCGAGCAGGAGCTCCAGGAACACGAAGCAGAGACCTTCCAACATCGTTACACATCGTTATATATGCAAGGCGACAGCACACGCACGCACGTGCACACACAGAGACTGAGTCACTGAGTACGCGGCTCCGGGGCACTCGAGACCACCACGGCAGGGCGTGCTGGCCTTGGCTTGGGGCCTTTCGACCGTCTACCATCCTCCTGTCCCTGGTTGTCCGGTGATGACCTGATGGCCACCTCTGAAACACTGGCGAAGTGTGTGGCTGCCTTACTCACCACAAACTGTACTTTGGGAGACCTTTTCATCTCACCTGTCAGCGTCGCAGTCACGTGGCTTCCTTCTCTCGAAGTGTGGGTGTCAGTGTCAGCCCTTGCGATGATGCTCGGCTTGGGCAGGTTCATCTTCTTGCTGAGCTCCGAATACCGCGCATCACCCACGGCCAATCGCAGTGCCCGATTGGCAACAGCATCGTCTCGCAAAAGGTGCTGCGAGGCCAAGAACGCCTCTTCTGCTTCCTTGGCTGCCTTGGGGTTGGCGTTCGCGCATGCACTGAGAAAAGCACGCTCGCAGAAGAAATCTCGTGGTCGCAACTTGGCCGCAGCGTCAAGAATCTCCGAAAGCTGCTTATAATCGCCAAACCTCGCCAAGACCTTCGACACAGTTCGATAGCTGGCGAGAGTCGGCCGCAAATTGGCAGCCCTAAGTCCTGCCCAGGCCTCAAGGGCCATGTCCTTGTCGAGCGCCAGAGACGCCGAGTTCATCAGCACATTGAAGGAGATCACATCGGGGAGAACTCCAACAGACTCTAATCTCCCAAGCCATGCTACGATCCGCCGACAGTCTGTTCTGACCCACGCCTGCAGCAAACTGTTCGAACCAACTACTTCCACTTTTGCTCCGCGAGCAACCAATCGTAAGAACCAGAGATCTGCTGACAAAGGTTGCTGCACGTTTTCACAGGCCGTCATCATTGCATTGATTGTCAAAGAGGTTGGCGATATGCCTGCTTCGCTCATGGAATCTATCACCTTTTCCGCCTCTTGGAGATCTCCAGCCATGGCACAGGTCCGAGCAAGCGTGGTGTAGGTCACAACATTTTTTGCAATGCCGTGTCTTTCCATCTCCTGTAAGATCTCTCTGCTTCGTTGGACATCACCCACCTGTGCACAGGCCGCTAGCATCGAGGCAAATGCGCGAGCATCTGGTCTTTCACCAGCACTCCTTGCACGCTCCAGCCATAAGTGTGCACGCGATGCATCTGGCGCACGTCCAGCGGCCTTGATCAGTGATCCAAAACTTCCCATATCCGGCATTTGTCTTCCACGCACCATGTCATTGAACTTTCCCTCTGCCTTTGCTGGCTGCCGAGCGGCCGCATAGATGTTGATGAACGTGTTGAAATGAACGATATTCGGCTGCATACTCGAGCTAACCATTTTTGTCCACAGTTGCTCTGCTGCCTGCACCCTGTGTCGCTTCTCGCACGAGCTCAAAATCGTACCAAAGGTCACCTCGTTCGGCTCGCAGTTAGCACGGCGCATGCTGTCCAGCCATTCCTGCGACTACAAACAATGAGCTGCATGGTGCACGATCCTGGTGAAACAGCGCGGGTCCTCGGCCAGTTTGGTATTTCCAACACCGGAAAGCCCAGCAACGATAGATGTGTACCTGGAAGTCTGGAAGTGTCATGTACTGCAGGGCTCTTCGGTTTGTTCCCGACGCGTCGAAACGGCACAACGGATCCAAAGGCAGTCAGTCCTCAGTCCTATGCGCTCTCCAAGGAAAAATGCCTGAAGGTTGCAGGATTTCCAGCTCAGATTCAACCTGAAAGGTTCAACCGTGAAGTTGTCGGCTTAAGCCTTGGCTTGACTTCGGAGTCTCACAGTCGCAACGGCGTGTCTTCGTCAAGGCTGGAGCTCGCTAACGGCAGTCAACTGACGGATGCTTCCCGCTGCATGTTCCGGGCGACACTCCCACATCGCAAGCGTCCCCATCTCTTTGGCACTTCAGTCTTGGACTGGCGTTTGTCGTCGTTTGTCATCTTCGACCAGCAGCCGCAGCAATCGTAGTCGTTTTCACATTGTAGTTGTTCTTTGCAAGCTCGTTTTTGGAAGGAAGCCGCAGAAGCTTGCATTACCACGGGGCGAACTTCGAAGGTTGCGGACTCGCTGTTTTCGGCTTGCAAAGAAGTGGCCAGTAGCAGGCTTCTTGAGATCTTGGAGTTCTTTCTATTGCTGTTTCCTGCGCACCTGCACAAAGGCTGAGGCCCAACTGGTGCTGTGGCAAGCAAACGTTGAGGGGAGGGACGAGACCAAAACCCTCAAGGCGGCAACAGTAGTGACGACAGGCTTTCTTGCATGCGCTTCGTCTTTAGCGGCAGCGTAAATGTCTCGCTCCAGCCTTCATTGCTCTTCTATCAAACGTTTTTGAAGTTACCATGCCTGTTGGGAACCCAGATTTTACAGATGACTTTCGTTCCTTTAGCGTCATTGTTCACCGCAAGAGTGCACATCGCAACACGTTTCTTATGGCTTCAGCCTCTCCTCCGAAGGCCACATTCGTGTGTTCAAATGTTTCTGCATCCTGAGCGCAAGATGTCACCCCGGGTGTCGCCAAATTCTCTTGCTTATCCCGAGACAGTCATGGCAAACAACACTTTGCAAGCCCCAGAGGACATCAGCCTACCACGACATCGCAGCGGGCACGTGATGGTGTCTGGCCGCAGTTCTTGTCCTTGGTCCAAGCGGCTTCAGATGACACGTCGATTCTCAGACTGCGCTGGGGCCGCCACGACGCATTTCTGTCATTGTTTTCACTGCTGAGCGCATCTCCCCTGCCTGGCACAGGGATCCGCCGTCTGAGACTCCGTGAGGTCATGCAAACTGTGCGGCACTGCCTGAGCGTAGGCATTGACAAGGATGTTGTAGCTGGTCTTGTTGGGCAGCACTGCCGAGGCCCTCGCTGGAACGAACAGATCGATGCACTCTGTGACAGGTGTGCGGGTTTGCAACAAGGATTCTAGAGCTTCTCTAGCATCGGCTAACAGCGGCTTCTCGCCGTCAAGACTTGACGGCCTCATCGTGTCGAATGTCGCCACTGCAGCTTTGAGATCGCCAGCCTCATCTCTGAAAAAACGACATCCAACCTGGTGTTCTAAAAATGCTTGGCTTGGCACTTTGCCATACGCATCAACCATGCTGTTGAAGAGCGCCGTGCTTTGTAGACCATCCTGCAGATGTACGAGCAGACCACAGGAACTCATGTTGAGAGAACCCGGCTGGGAAAGACGGTGTACCTCCCTCGCCGCCACACGAGAAGGGTCTGCGTGCATGCGGCGGGTGAACAGCCACAACTCAGAGGCTTTGTCTAAGTCTTGGATGACATGTATGTACAGTATGTACATTTCGGCCATGACGCCAGTTCAACATCCATTGCACTGACAGATTGCATGGCTTCAGAATTTATGCCATGGCTGGATTTCATCATCTTCCTCTTCCTCCTCAACACCGATGCTCAAGGCTCCTGCGCATTCGGTGTTGCAAACCGTTGCAATAGCATCGCGCTAGGAGCTGTATCGAAGCAACGGCAGTGGTCCTTTCTGGGGATAGAACTCACGGAGTGGCCCCAAATCCTCACGGCCTAGGCACTTGAAAGCGTGAAAGGGCCAGCGTGTCTTGCCAGCACATGAACCATACATAACTTTAACACGAACCATTCCATTGCTCAGAAGAGAGCAGACTTTCAAGGGATCCATCTGCAGGACCACAGCAGCAGATTCTGCGACAGCCATGTCCGCAAAGCATTGTTTGCCTGCCTGCCAGAACAGACAAAGAAGGGAATTTTGGTTTCTCGCCGCGGCTTAAGTCTTTGTTGGGTTCTCGAGGGGGCACGCCCTCTGCTACAATTCTTTCGGTCATGATCTTCTGCTGCCTTCCAAAGTCTCTGAACTCTTGGCAAATAACTTGAGCTGAGTTCGTGCGTGAACGAGTGTGCTTGCAAGTCTCTGTACAGCATGCGAGCATGAGAAGCGCGCTTTCCTCCGTTGTCTGTCACGCTCGACAAAACCGATTGAAACTCAAACACGATGCGCACCAATGTCACTGCGCACCTCTCTCCCCCTTCGTTGCCAAGTGAAAGCGCCTGCGTGCCCTGGAGGAGCCCAGTGCTGGCAGCAAGCATGTCTCGAACAGCCAGCAACGCCACGATCCTGCCCGTGTCAAGGCACAAGCGTAGCAATGAATGCAAGCCATTGGCTGGGGCAAAGAATCTCCGAAACCCCGGACTGAAGGGTTTGGAAGGGCTGTCTGAAGACATTGCCGTCAGCTGCCCGTTCTCCCGCTGTGCCCGCATGCATCAAGAACCCGAACTCTTAACCGCGATTTCGCGCCAGTTCGGCCTCATTTGAGAGAGGGCTTTGGTGTAAGAAGATGGCCTGTCCTTGGAAGGACTCTCGGAAGGGCTCCAGAAGGCTGAGAGAGAGGTCCAAAAATGCCGAGACTCTGCGAGGCCACGGGCGTAGGCGTCGTAAAGCCTGAATGACCAGCGACGGAACCACTACGGAGACTCTTAGGACTCGTGAGGACCAAGATACATCCAGGCGGACAAAACAGGATCGGCATCTCCTCAGAACAAGGCCCTGTTTCCTGCGCGCGTTCATCCATGATGCCATCAAGCGCTCCTCGATCTCCAATGCCTTGTGCTACAGCCTTCAGAGTTAGAGACGAGACTGCATCTTGCACGAAGGGAGGCACAATGGGCAGCATCCCTAGCGCTCCTGCGCCTGTGTCCAGAGAGCCGGAGGACAGCGCTCCTGAGCGGTTCCTTACGACACCACTTCTTAGCTTCTCTGTTTGCAAGTCCTCCTTCAGAGCCGCGGCAAGATCCAACATAGCCGCAACCTCAATGCTGAGAGAAAGACTAAACCAACTAAACCAACTAGGCCGACTTGCTGCGCCAGGCAGGAAGAACCAGGCTACGCGGTGACTAACGAGACGACGCGTAGAACCATCTATTGAAGTAACCGCTGTTGCTATAGACTTTGCTTCGAGAAATATATTGGTATGGACACATTAGACATCGTCACTGTCGGGGGACGTGCCCCGGTCGGTGTCCTATGCGGCTAAGCGGTACGACAGCAAAGGTACAAACTTGAGTCTTTGCAATCTCTGCAGACACTAGGGGGACTTCGGGTTTGCCCCCCCTTTCGAAGAACTACAAGTAGGATTGGTCTGTACAGTGGGGGATGAGGGGGTGAGGGGGAGAGACAATCACGACCACTCACCCGAGGTGAACATCCCAACAAAATGAAATTAGTCGAAGCCAGGGTTTTCTACATGCTCTTAGTGTGTCTCACAAGCAAGCCCTTGTGACAATTTGCACTGCGCGGAGTCTGCAGCATGCAAGGCTACTGACCAGCAGGGAGTAGGAGGAGTAGGAGTAGCAGTAGCAGGTGTAGGAGGAGAACAAGAGGTGGAGTACCGTAGGCGTAATGGTAGAAGTTCTCGCCGTCGCCCGGCCCGGTCGACGCCGTCGCCACGGTCGGAGGTTGCAGGGAGGGAGTGGAGCATATGTGCCTGGTTTTTCGGCCTGTGGCGCAATGCGAGGCGGTTCGGTTCGCAAGTGGTTCGGTCACGATTCGTCGTGGTTCCTGAGCATTGATTCATTGATTGCTATGCACCTGCACCCTACAGCCGGGGGGAAGAATGGGGCTGTCACACTAAAACTGCGCTTGTTGCCAATTCGATTTACCGAATTTTTCGGTTAAACTGGGCTGGCTGGGCAGTGGGCCCGAAAACCAGGCGCATTTGCTCCCTGCACCCTACCAACGGAGAGACGAAACGTGCAAAGTAGCAGTACTAGCAGGAGTAGTAGTAGTCGTCGTCGTCGTAGTACTAGTAGTAATGGTAGTAGTAGTCGTCGTCGTCGTGGTAGTAGTAGTAGCAGCAGCAGTAGCAGTAGTCAGCAGTAGCAGTCGCACTAGCAACAATGGCACTAGCAGCAGCATTGGCAGTAGCAGGAGCAGGAGCGATAGGAGCAGGAGCAGGTAGGAGAAGCAGGAGCAGGAGAAGCAGGAGCAGGAGTAGCAGCAAAGTCTGTTGCGATGACTGGGCGCGAAATATCATGCATGACAAGACATCGGCAGCAAACCAACGATGGACACAACATGGACAAACGTGCACATTATAATTTCCCTGCCGCCCCCACTAGCTCTCTGAGGTTGGTTTTTGAGTTCAGTGGTTGGCAACGAGTGTAGAGGCTACAGAGCTGCACGAGGATCAGGAGGGCTACGTTGGGTGCCGCAATGGCACAGAGCGAAAAGTTAGCTGGACCGGAAGGTCAGGATTGTCAAGTTGGGGAACCCACAGCACTACCGCTTGCAGGAATACACCAATGAACTCAAAAATTCCGAGAGCTGTCAAACCAAGCTTAAGTTGCAGAACCCTTTCAGCTTCGGATTTTGCGCACAGCCAGGAATTGAACGCGAACATTGAAATCATGTCATGAACTCTTATGGATCTGCACGGTGTTCCATGCGCATGCACAGTCGAATCTTCAAATTTAGCCTGTTTGTTTCTCCCTGGTATCTCTGGTTTGGTAAGCCAGTGCTATTCGCTGCCCAAGTTTGTACCATAAATGTCGGGTTCTATGCTATACAAGACGACCCTCTTCTAACCCTTTGCTCGCTACTCGAGCCGTTTCTCAGGTTGGTACCGAAGAAAAGCATGCCCGACAGAACCTGTGGGCCGGCTTCTTCAGAACTCGGCGGCGCAATGTACCGGACTCCCTCCAACTGAGTTTGTAGCTTGTGGCTGGCAAGGTCCTGCCACGAACCGGATCGTGCAAGGCCCCAAAGCAATCACAGCAGCCTTGTCGGCCGCCAGGGCTTCCGCTATGAGCACCTTACACTGCTATCACATGCAGCACGCTGTTGCGAAGGAAAAGTACCCGGCTTTGCACCTGTGCTGTGGCCAAACCCTTCGAAAGGGCCAAGACCTCAGCGACTTGCTCTCCGAAAACATCGTAACCACTGAGGAGACGTGTGTACAGCACTGGCCTGACAGGTCGATTGCCGGCCGTGAGGCTTCCAGGAATTGTATGTGGCCCACTGTTATGTTTGATCGATTATCCGGCCCGCCGTCGTAGGAAGCATTGAGGCAGGAGGCTGATCCTTAACAACAACAGAAGGAACGAGAACGACACTGAGATGGTCACGTGTCTCCGTGTCAATCTTCGGAACACCGGAAAAGCATTCGGTGTTGGTGCGAACTGCAATGCACGCATCCGAACGGCAGATTCCCGTGCGCGCTCGTAAGTTCAAGTGGCAGCCGCAGGTGACAGCTTGACACTGGCTTAACGCTTCTGGGTGCCGTGAGCTCGGCTTGGAGCTGCAACTTCTGTCGAGAGAATTGGGCGTTGGGTGCTCAAGCTTGGGTTCAGGTTCAGAAGGAGTGCACACCGAAAGGTTGCCTGCAGCTGCTGGCTTCTTTTGCGGGCAGGTGAGCGGGCCTTGAGATTTGGTCTTGGCATTCAGGCCGTCGTTCATTGTCATCCATTGGCGTGTCACACGTGAGCAATCTGCACGGGATTTCCGATCTTTAGTCATCTGAACAGGGAGATACATGAAAAGTGCCCCTGTTAATGCCCTTTGTGAACATATGCACAAACCCAATCCTTCCGTTAAAGCCACGCACAATCATGGCGTGTGGAACTGCCGAAGTGTCCAAGGCAATGGCAACTTCGCAATCGAAGGCGTATTCCTCTACAGCTCTTCAGCTTGCAAACTGAAACTCACCTAGTTCAGTGAAATTGCTTGTACTGACAATTCGGCTCCTTGTCTGCCTCCGTCTTGATAGCGCTGACGTGGGCCTGATCTCGCAAGGATGCGCTGCGAAGAGTCGAGGAGAGAACAGAACATCCACCTAGCCCCTTTAGGCATTCATCGAACGGCCTTCATCGCTTCTTCTGCTGTTGCCAGTGACAACGCCTCGCAGATCTGAAGCTCGGCATAGACAATCCAAGCGCACTTTTCTGTTCAAGCTGCGATCTCTCCCTTCCTCAGCTGGCCTTAGGGAACAAGCGCTCGGTGAAGGTAAGGCTGTTCGACATCTGAGAGGCATGCTTCTCGCTGCAGCCAGTGGACCTCTCGCTTGTCGCCACACGTGAAAACATGGGGCAGGAAAGCAGGGAGCACGCCTAGAGAAACAGAAGAACAGAGGGAGGCACAGAGAGAGAGAGAGAGAGAGAGAGTGACAGAGACAGAGACAGACACTCAAAAGCCATGAGAAGGAGAAGGGGAATGGTACAAGAAGGAGTCGAGGAAAAGCGAATCCAGAGCGAGCAAAGATCGCGGCACGCCGGCACGCATCACATCTGAGTCACGGCATCTGTTCTCGCGCGACATCGCGAGAGGTTGCGAAGTCTTAGGAAAGTCCACGGAGCCCAGCCTGCCAAGCGACACCTGTGCCTGTGGCCCTGCACCTGCTGGGGGAATCTCACGGCATTCGTCCCGTCTTCGTCCCGCCTATTCACAGCGCTCTGAGGAACTGGCCCAATGGCTCTTCTGACAGCTCTGCGAACAGTACGTAGAAGCTCGGCACTTGGAGCAGAAGAAGACGGCCCTGGCACAGCGGGGGCAAGCTTTCACACACCAATTCTCAACATAACTCTTCAGAAGCAGGTCTCAGTGGTCGCCTAACGACAGTTCTTGGTCTCTGCCCAGTTTCGAGAGATCGGTACATACCCCGATTCTCAGGCTTGCGGAGAAGGCGAGTACACATGTGATGCAATGCGCGGCCGAGGCCTCCGGCCACAGAAGTCGCAAAGGCTGCGAGGCCTCAGGGTGGTCGTCCGGCGGTGGGGGGCAAGATGCAGAAGGTGAGCTCGGCAAAACGCAGCTGAAGCACGCTTGAGTCGCATCAATTAGGTCCTGGAACATCATGCACGAAGCATTTCAAACCCTACAATAGTACTGTGCCAAACGGCCTATAGCGCTGTCCTCAGCATGAGCTTCCTTCTGCAGTCCCACCGCAGCTTCAGTAGTACCTGAACTCAACACTGCTCCGGGACGCACAATTGGGCACACCTTCAATGTGGGAGACTGCCTGGCCACCGAACCACCAGCTCGCCGCAGCGCCGTAGAAATCGGCACTGGCAGGTTTGCTTTGGCTCCAGGCTTCATTGCTTCACGGCCAGGACCCGCCTTGGCATCAGCTACGCGGAGGGGCTGAGCTTCTTGTGGCACGCGAATCAGACACCATCTTGACTTCCACCGGAGACGAACGGCGTCTTCAGCGAGATCAACTGTTCCAGCGTTATTGTAAACCTGGATGACCAGCTTCCACGTCACGCTTTGCGCACTTTGCTGCGATGTCAGATGCCAGAGAGGTAACTCGGGTGTCTCGCAGGATCTGTCAGGACTCTCATTTTGGAGGCCTCGCATCCTGCATAGTGGGGTCTTGCCACCTAAAGTTGTGGTTAGATTCCAGGTAGAGCAATGAACGAGTGCACGATAGTTTCTGAAAGCGAAGCTTTCAGCAAAATAGCTTCAGCCCAACAGAACTCATCATCAACCTGACATCTCCTGTTACATTGAGGTTCGGTCTGCCATTGGGGTTCCAGCTAGTGTTGAGTGCTGCGTTTAACACTGAATGCTCGGGGGGCCTGAATGCAGCGGGCAAGGCACATGAATCTGCATGACTCTGCAGACAGCAAACAAACGTGCAGGTGATTGTAGCCAGTTTCAGCGTCCTGAATCGTCTTTTGCAGCCATTTTTCAGCCTGCTCTGAGCATAGAAAATGCGAGTGATTGAGCGTACTTTATGCGCCTCTCCGGGGTCGTTGCTGGCCATGTATGCACCCAACACCTTTCGCTGGATCCATGGAGTCGGCGCCAAAGTGCTTCGTTTGAGCTACCGACAGCTGCATGGGAGTGTGCATCCGGCTGCAGTCCTACGCAGTCCGCTTGTAGCTCAAATTCAAAAAGCGCGACTGGAGCCCGGCGAAGTGCCTGCAGAGGTCATTTGATGGAACCACTTCGCGGCAATCTCCGAGTCGCCAGCCTGACAAAGCGGCACTCCGACACAAGCCCTCACCGGGGCGCCCAAGTCTGCAAAGCAGCCGAAAGGCCAAGTCCGGTCTCACACCCCTACCCTGAGACCGGCAGGACAAGAGAGTCCAAGAACGTGGCATCTCAGAGGAACGAGCTCGCCCCCGGGTAACAAAGCACAAGGCTTCTTCGGATAGCTCCGGTTTCTGGCAGCGAGGGACAACTGGCTCTGGCTGGAGACCACAAAAATGACGAGATCCAGGACTCCTCGTTCGCCGTGCTCACTTGTCAATGCCGCTGGAGTTGTCAAGGTGCAAAACGCAAGGAGCGAATCAGACTTGGTTCTTCTCTCCAGTGCACTGCTGACATGCTGCGTCAGACAGCAATTGGACTCGTGGATTCATCACAGACTCGCGAATGAAGGAAATGCAAGCGCCTAAACAATCGGCATTGCAGAGGTCCGAAACGCATCGACATGTCATTGAATCGGCCAATGCCACGCTTAACCCAGCAGCACCAGAACCAGCCGAAGAGGCGTGAATTCAACAGTCAACGGCAAGGCTGCCTCAGAGGCTGCCAAACCACTCCGACCGGCCAGCACAGGTGTCCGACTGTTGAAGCTACAACCCTTTGCTTCGCGGATGTTGGGTGCCTCAACCGCTAGTTGATCCATCTCAACATGCGCACAAATCTGGTGCAAGAAGGCAAGGCCTCTTCCCATGCTCACACCGGACTCGCAGAAGTACTGGTCTGTACTCACTTTCTTCAATTCGTGGCGCCTTTGCCGCTACAGACAAGGCCGTGTTGTAGATGACCGTGTCTTTGCGAACCTCGGTCAACCCCGAGGGTGCACCTGGTCGACTGATGTGCCATTCTGCTGGGTATCTGCAGCGACTTAGCTCGAAGCACTCTCGTTCTGCATGTCCCCGAGCACACGGGAAGCACCTGGAGCTAGAGAACCCAAAGACCAGGCACCCAACCTGGTACATCGATGATTTCGGATGGATTTCAGGTCGCATTGCCTGCCACATCGCCGGCAGCAGCACACACCTCGAGCAATGTGTTGTACCTCCCAGTGATGATGAGCCACTTTGACCCAACGGCCGAAATTACAAGTCCGGCAAACTGCTTCGGAGTACACGGCATGGTTCGGCAACACCCCCAGCCCACACATCTGGCGCAGATAAGCCTGCGTAGCCCCACCAAGTTTGGGCATCTCAGGGTGCTCTTCGGCACAGGTCTATAAAAAGCTCAGCCCATAGCTTCGGCCCGCCGCACGTCTGCTCTGCGTTCACACGAACGGATTGCAGACGAGAGCGTGTACTCGTCAGGCCTAGGTTTCTCCAAGTACTCAGACACGACTGTCATGCTGGGCAACAGTGAAGATGGTGAAGTGAGCCGAGCAGAACACTGGCACGCGTTCGCGCGCATTGTCTCCAGCACCTGGCTGCCATGCTTGACCGAGCCTGAACCTCAAGCACATAGTGGCGATCGGGGTCCCCGAGCCATGGGCCCCCCCTCCCCTGTGGCTTCCATGGCAAGCGAAGCTTCAGCTCTGTTGCAAGGAACTCCGCAAGTTTTGCGGCCTGTGTTGCCCGAGGTTGTGACTTCAAACAAAGGGTATGCTTGCGCAACAAGCATCCCCCAAAAGCGTGCCAAGCCACACCTCGTCTACGGAATCCACTGCGCCGCGCGCAGCGTAGACATTCAACAGGATGTTGTAGGCCTCACTTAAGCGGGCACAAACTCGTTACCCTGCAGAGTCTGCTTTCACAACCTGCCACGCTTGCACATGGTGCTTCCGGGAGATTCCGCGAGGAGATTGACAAGAGTCCAACACGAAGCAAGCCGACTACGTCCCTTCGGAGTCCAGCCTGCAGGTCGTGCCGGAAGCCAGCAGCCTCCATGTCTGCGAACCACGTCTCCGCCCTCTCCGCATCTCCCGCCTCCACTTGCAGATGCTTGCCACACATATGCATACGACTAGCGTCGTCCACATGCCTGAGCGCACTGGTGGAGCTTATCAATGTACCTGGCCCGGGCAAGTCCAGTAAAAACGCGTTAGCTTGATAACGAGAGGGGCACTCGTAGCGGTTCGAGAATGGATAGTTCACAGTTGCAGAACCGCCTTCAAGCTGCACACGGCAGCAGGACAGGCATTGGCCGTGGCCAAACGTAAAATTTCGTGCGACTGCATCCCGAACCGCAAAGAAGTATGCCTCTGGCTCGAGCTTGCAAAGCAGCCTGCCAGCGTGTTGCAGATCAGCGCAGAAAGCAGGAAGGGAGGGACCGAGGGAGGGGGAAGGCGTGACAGTGCCTGTGTTGTGGGCGACGGGTAGCAGGCACCTTCGTCCGGGGCTACGCATGAAATAGTCGGCAAAGCACGAGGAGCTGATGGAGCAGGGCATGAAGAAGGCAAGCTACGTCGGCAATGCAATTTTTCCACCCGATGCACACCCACGTCGCTGCATCAACCGTCTCGTGAATCGCCAAAGGTTTCGTCATCAGCACCCATGACCTGACTACCCCGAGCTGGTACTGGTGCAACTCGAACTGCGCAAAACTGGCTGTCACTGTGCTAGATGGGCGCCGCGTGGTTTGACGTTGCATACATCCAGTAGAATCCGTATGAAAAGACCTCAGATCAGGACAGCCGATGGCTTGTCATCCCGCTTCTTCTTGCTGATGCCGGAGATGATGTCGTCGATACCTGGCCAGTGGCGAACTTGAAAAAAATCGCATGATGGCCTTGACCTTCTGTGCCCCTCCCGGCCATATCCGGTCCATTCTTGTCTATACGCTTGGACATATCTGCGTCCCGTATGTGCCCTAACCAGTTTATGATTTTGACCATGAGTGTGAAAGACCTTCGTTGGCCTGCTTTCGCGACCGCACCAGCTTTTGCCGGCCGTCGTCCCTCCCTCTGAATGCATGCCCGTCCCTTACCCCGACCCCGAACCATGGCGGCGCACGCAACAGCATCGCTGCCGCTTCGATAGACGTCCTACAGCAAAATGGTAGACCACTGGAGGGGGGCACCATGCTGCTTTGGGCAGCTGTCCTCAGCGTCTGCTGTTTGACGGCGAAGGTGTCAAAGATGCTGAGCACCTCTCCGCAGCAGCTCAAAGCAGACTTTGATTGGTTTGGGACACCCTTGAGTGCAGCATGGAGTATCACTCGACAAAGTGCATGGGAAGGGCGCGATTGAACCGTGCAGTTCAATCACAGCTTTCCCTCCGCCGCACCTTCACGTCAGCGACCTTGCCCGTCTTGCCGTCTATGCCGATGTGGGCGTTTCCTGGCAAGGTATGTGCGATCTGACGTGACAGGAGATCCAAAGTCTTGGACATGTCTTTGACTCTCCAGCCTGTTGCAGCATGTCGGGCACGCAAGTCTGTCATCGCCCGCACCACATCAGCACCTGACCACAAGCTGCTCACTTTGTGCAGAAGCATGCTTGCAAGCTGAGTCTGCAAATCCGGCGCCGAAACAGAAGACCGACCCTTATGTGACGTTGGGCCAACACCGCCGAAGCACATTTCTGCGGTACTGCCGTGGCACATCACCACTACATGTCGTGTGCATGAGAGCTGACAGCTCACTGAGATCTGCACCGCAGTTGTGTGCCAAACTGCGAGGGATCACTTCCAGGGCTTCGCCAACGGCCTTGTAGGCGTACCTCGCTATGGCCGTTTATTCAGGTTCTGCCAGCAGGCTCTTGGCAAAGGACTTGGGCGGTCAAGCTTCACTGCTTGGAAATTCGGGCGGCAAGCCCAAGTCCAAAGCCCTCTTTGAGATCCCATGTGGCGGGGTACTGGCGGCTACCCTCGATGCTCTTTGATTTCTCCTTCCTGAGTCAAGGGGTTTTGACATCAGAATGACACGACACGACAAACGATGAATTCGCAGTGGTCTGAGGCACTCGCAGCCTCGCTGCCAATTCCATCTCTACGGCTCCCCCACCCGGCAAGAGCAACCTGGCACTCTTTAAAGGGATTCTTGCAGAAATCCCTTGCCTCACTCTGCTGCACTAATTCAGCCAGCATCGCGGTTCGAGGATGATGTTGCGAGCTACGGCAAAGGCATCCTGACAAGCTGTTCACGTCAATCTGCTTTCACAGAGCCTTGACACGGGGGTGTACTGTAACGCCAGCGAGCATGGCTGCGTCAGCCTACTGCTGGAGTCAGGTGCGGTTCAATTAGATTTTGGCTTAGGGCTTAGGGCTTTGAGGGGTTGAAGATCTAGCACTCCATGGGATTCTTGATTGGTGCAAAGAAAGGAAAGAACAGGGTGGAATGCTGCAAAAGTTGTGGGAGGGCAGGCATCCATGTGTGTCGTTGCCTCTGTTGTCCAAACCCTTCTGAAGAAATTTGCAAAGCTGATGACGGATATGGTGGCAGTTCATGGGCTGATGGACCTGGAAACCCGTCAAAGTTACAAGTTTGACATGCATCACAGGACAAACCTCAGTCCTGGCGTTGCGAAGTTTCGGTAAGTAGGAGCAGAAAGTAAAAACTAGAATTCGAGCAGTCATGACCGGTGCTTGGAACCGACTTGCAAACGCAACGTGCCTGGCCACGGAAAGCCAGAATGCAAAGCGACAAACCGACCCGTCTGTCGCCAATCAACAAGACTCAAGGTTCTAGCAGGAAGAAATAAGGGTCACCTGCAGGTTCCTTTCCATTTCGTTGAGGACGTCCCTTGTGGCGCCACGCAGGACGATTGTACCTGACGGTAGTTGCAGTTGCTGAGAGCATGGAGCTGCGGACTTTCTTCGCTAACCAAGGTCAGCGCAGGCTTTGGGATCCTCAAGCACGGGTCACAGGACGATGGTACAAACACTTCAGTTGTTGGCTGTCCTGGCACTCTGTCAAGTAGGTGAAGTACTCTTCCCCAACCTTGCTGACCTTGAATCGCCCACACCTCGGGACATCTCGACCGAGGCTGAAACCAACTGTGGAGCAGTTCGGAACTCGACTTTGTTCCAACCATGGACTCCTGCAGCTCCTGGCAAAGTCGAAGTGTCGGTCACAGCACCGCTTTTTAGCACGAACTGTCTCCTCCGTTCGGTTGCAGATATGGGCCCCAGTGACTCTGGCCTGAGGTTGCTGAAGAAGCACATTGAGCTTACGAGCAGGCCACCCGAGAGCCTAGCGATCCGAAGGTTGTCTGTCTTTCGAATTCGCCGAATCACGGACACCCCGCCCTGGCAATAACTCGTGAGCGATGTGTCTCAGATGGGTTGCTCGGCAAGATGCCGTTCTACGTCTAGGGTCATATTCCAGTTTTCCGAACGTACCTTCATGAGGAAGTGCTGTGCCAGATCCTTGTCACACATATCTGCCAGCTGTGACTTTCTGTGTAGCCGTCTCAACTCAGACAGTGGGCTGAAACACCCTTCTCTGTGATGACCAGGTCTGGCTTGACCTTGAGGATGTCATCACAGACTCTCCGCATTTCTTCCTGCACCGGCAAAAGGACGGAGGGAAGCACACGGGAGAGCGGGCAGCGAGTGCAAGAGCCACAGACGGCACCTCTTCTTGCTGCAGCAGCTTCTCCCAATCTGCTTCTTTCGTGATTTCCACGTTTGTTTGACCTAGCAATCCGCATGCAACAATTCATGGAGCACACCTGAAAAAGCAAGACGAGATCAGCCCGGCAAAGCAAAGAATTGGTTTATGCGACTGGTTTGGTGCAGTTTTTGCTGGCGCGTTGCTCTCACCCTTCTTGTACTCAAGCGGGCAATCCAGCAACACGACCTGAGTGACGAGTTCTCCTGCTTGGGCGGTCACGCAGACTGCTTGAAGAAGCTTGGATCACTTGGCTTTGCCGACGAGATGCGCGTGGATTCCTAATTTCGCGTCTCATCCGAGGGTGCGTAATGTCTTTGTTGAACATGACACCATCGAGCACCTGGCAGCTGCATAGTCTGCTGAAGGATGCAAGCACGTCTTTGAAAGTCTCAAGCCGCACAGAGCCTGACAGTCGGTGAGCTCACCGCCCTGAATCTTCTCAACTTTTGCGAATCGCTTGACATCGATTTCCTGACCGGGGCTCATTGCGGGAAGCAAGCTTAGGTGTGATTTTTTGCTTAGTCGTAACTTTCGCCGTTTTCAGCGGAATTAGTTAGTCGTGACCTTTGTTTGTTGCTTACTCGGGAGGGATACCAAAATCTTGCTTGGCTATAACTTCTTGTTTGGCCGCAAACCGCAAATCCTTTTCGGGTTAAGGGTTTCGGGTTTGTAGGCTTAGGGTTTAGTGTGCACGCTTAGTTAAACTGCCCCTAACGGTCAAAATGTTTAGGTTTCTTTTTGCTTTGTCGCCCCTTTTCCTCTAGGAGTTGTACTTGCCGTCAGAATGCCTAGCAGGCGGAGGCCGGAGGGGATTCACCACCTACCACTACCTACACCCCACTGACGGTTCCTCACAGCCTTGGGAGGGGCCTGAGACACAGTGCAGGTCCCCACGACCACTCATGATTCCACTTGAACAACAACTCCGATAAGGTATGAACCCACACTCAATACAAACTCCGGACTCAAAACCGTGATAACCCCCGGGTTTAGGGATTATTCGCGATAGGGTTTAAGTTAGGATTAGGGTTGATAGGTCTATGGGGGAGTTGGGTTCATGGTTTAGTGCATAGGGGTTCAGAGTTTAGGGTTTCGGGTTTGCGGTTTCGGTTTTAGGGTGCACGCTTAGTTGCCTCGCCCACCCCGCCCTCCCTCTTGCTGAAACGGCACGAAAAAAGCACGACTAGGCAAAAAAAAACAGTTACGACTACACTAACCCCGCCACGCCAGATACGGCTCTAATAGTTCAGGTGACCCTTTCACTGTCCTTGCGGCCGTCAGGCTTGACGATGCAAACCGTCTTTACTGCCTTTATGGCCAAGTCAGAGATCAAAGTGCCGAACCTGGACGCAGTCATCACATCTTGTTCTTCACGAAAAACCACGGTTGCAAATGAACCTACACGTGTTAGCCAGGAGCCTGCTCGCAAACTTTGTGTCGATCGACCCGCGTACAATTTCCCGCAGGGCCTGCCCGTAATGACGACCAGGATTTGAGCAGATGTGCTGACATGACAGATATCGCGAAGTGACCTCCGGATGCTCGAGGTCTACTGGATACCTTGGGAAAAGCCATGGCAAGACAAGACCATTTCAAAATCTTGCACAAGGTGGCGCACGCAAGCTCCTTCAGCAAAGTCTGTGCATCTTCTAGTGCCTTCATGTAGCCTGACCTGAGCAAACGTCCAGAGCATCGGAGCACTCGGCAGTGTCATTGCCAAATTCAGGCCCGCGGCACAATCAGAGTTGGGTGCAATTTCTTTTCAATGAGTGGCTCTGCCACTCCCAAAAGCTCCCTGGCAGGATGCGCTGTTGGGGAGGGCCGGGCGCGTTCTTCAGCACTGCAGGGCTTTTTTTGGGCCGCTAGGCCCCTGGCCCGGCCAGGATAATGACCGAGGTCGTGCCATCACCGACTTCCTCGTCCTGCGCTCGGCTCAGCCTCGACGACACCGCAGCTCCAAACGAGAGAAAGCTCTGTGCTCTTTAGCTGCTTTTGCGACTCTAGCACTCTCTGAGGCCAGCGGCTCGATCATGTTCTTGGCGGCCGGGTGCGAGACGTCCACCTCAAACAGTGTCAACCAGTTTAGGCAGAGAGAGGGTGTCTTCCCCGACCTCTCGCAAAATGGCATTGCCATCGTTAGTCATGACAATGCCGCCCATGGGATCCAGCCTCGGGTTCAGGTGCACGGGTCTCAAGCACCTGCTGCCCTGTTGCTGATACAAAGCTGCACTCTCTTCACATTTTTCTCTCTGTACATCGCTTGCGCAGCATCGTAGGCCCCTGAGAGTCCCAAGTTCCGCAATAGGCAGCGACCTACTGGGGCTGCCGAAAACTTTGGTTGCCACGGCATGGAGGCGTTTTAGGGAATCCAGCTGAAGTGCGGCCGTGACATCATTGAAACTGAGCCAATAACATTCTGATATTTACCGGCCGGTTTCCATGCTGGGCCCTCTGTGCTCGCCTTGAAAGGTGTGTGGTGCCGTGATCTGCGCTTGCCTTGCTAACCTAGGCTCCGTGGGAGATTGTCCAAGCCGAGTTCCAAAGCGCTTGTCGCTTCTGGTATGGCCAAATCGATGACACTTCCACCAGCTAGCTGATAAGCGGCCATGCCATTCGATCTCCGGGACAATGTGTCGTCTGGGCAAACTGTCTCAGTGAATGATACTGGTTCCCATACTTGTCAAGCATGTCGTCGTGGAACTGATGATACTTCTCAGCCTGGGTTGAATGAGAGCAAGCAAATGGTTGGAAAAGTGAAATCCAACATCTTGACAGACATTGCAATCATTTCCATTCAACGCAAACCTGTTGATGCTGAATTGCTCGTATTTGGCCATTGACTTCCTCTACCTATTGAGCGGCACATCGCAGGCTCCAAAAGCCGTAATCTTGGCAGAAGGCTACATGCGCCGGAAACTGAGCCGTGTCATAGACCAGCACCGTTCCAGTTCCGAGAGTGTCTCCGTCATCTCCTGCTCTGCAATAGATCAGATTCGACCAATCTCGATTCGTTCTGGACCTAGCGGTTGACATGCGTCGACACTCACGTCATGCTTCTCCCAACTGGCTTTTTATGTGCAGAGGGGGCTGGCCTCTTGGCTATTCGTGTTGGAACACTGTGCAAAGGCTCCCGTGGAAGTGATTGCAAGACGTTTTTGGATTGAGTAGTCCAACCAGCATGGCTCGCGAGACGACATTTGGCAGCTTGGGTGTTGCTGACGACAACAGCTGTCGTTCTGTCTGCTGTGCAAAGGAGTGTGCAAGTAATGCAGCGACACTTCCAAAAATCGACGGCTGACATGACACGAGTGCTGGTGTCCTCTTCCAGCCACAAGCTTCGTTTTGCCAGCTTTGGCTCGAACTTGCGATAGCAAAGGAGACGTCATGCCACCAGGGAGTCCGATAACCTGGTGTGAAGATACACTCTAGTTTGAGAATCTGTCGGTCACCCTCTGTAGTGGAGGCGGGTACTTGTCCAAAAAGACTTGTGTCCAACATCAGAGCCACGAAGTTCTGAGAACCACAACAGAAACAGCCGGCCCAAGAAAGCTCCGCTGCATAGACCCATCGCAACCCCGAGAGCACGTCATCAGAACCACCTTCTGAATATAGAGCCACCATAAAATTATCAACTCCATCTCGCCGCTACTGTGAAACATGGGGTACAAGGAACAAAAGCAGCAAGCAATATAATGCAATCGCAATCACGATGACATCAAAGCAATCAATCTCAAACAGTACAGAAGCATGCATCCAAACTGTCACCACGCCTACGAGAAGCTTCATGAAATACTCGACCTACCTACAGTGTGCCGCACTTCGGGTCATAGCAAAACCGTCATCAATGTCGTCAGAGGAAGTGTTGAATCCATTCCAGAACCTGTAATGCGGGGAACCACAACACGAAGGGCAACAAACCTCGTCGGCTCAGTCCACTGCCAGGCCGGACCGTTTCACTCATTCAATGCATCTTGGAAGCTGATCTGTACTCGCCACCCATGTCTTGGACGTCTCGTCTTGCTCCAGCAGGGCATGCTTCAAAAAATCTCCCAGCAAAGCTTTCGAAATCAGCTTCGGGCCTTGTCAAACCGTTGAGGTAAGCTATCACAAGACATGCAGTCCAAAAACTGCAAGGACATGAAAGGCCCGAGGGACACGGTCATTACCACGACCTCTGCATGCCCGAGCTGGCCGTAGTCTGCCTGCACCGCGAGACGACCAGCTCTGGCTTTTCAGCTCTTCTGCATCTCCCGCCTTGCCCTCCGAGTTGTGATAGCAAACCAGGCCACCTTCTCCAACTTTAGTTCCGCCAGCATATGCCACTCTAGAAGTGAGGTTGCCTCCATCAAAACTCTCTGCAAGACATCTGTCACATGCAGCCGAAGCAAACGAGGCAGTCCCAACAACATTCTGCATCCGGGCCGTCTTTGCGGCAAAGCTTTGTCATTTCTTCGGACCTTGGCACACTCGCAATTCCGGCCGGAGCAAAGCAGCCAGGCACGATGCACCACAGGATGGGCACATGGGCTCACGGCACAAACTCATGCTGCATGTGCCAGAAACATCCACATCCAAAATAGACTTGGACCATCTTGCCACTACCTCACAGGAAGATGCAGCAGCTCAAAGGCAAACAGTCTTGCACCCCGGCAATCCTGCTGTTGCGTCATGGGTGCTTGGCTTGGACTCGGATAGGGTGCAGGCTGCCGGCATATCCACTGATGCCTCTGCACAGCCATTCAAGAGCACAGGCAGCAGCCTCGGCAAAGTCAGCAGCTGGATGCGGCCAGAAAAGATGCACTCAGATTGTCCATATCATCCTCTGTCCGAGGAGCAACGCCAGGCACTGTAGACAGGTTGAAGGAACCCGAAGACGGGCTTGCGCCATGCTCAAGTCGGGGCAGCACCACAATTGCTTGAGCTGAAAATGTCAGAGATCGATCGATGTTACAGGTTCAATACAGACTGGGGCATGGACGATCACTGAGTCACAAGGCACCCGACAGCATCTTCAACATCGCTCTTGGCCCAAGCGTTGTTCGCACTATGCCGGCCACTGTCTTCCCTGCCTGTTCTGCTGCGAACAGGAACAGCAAGATTTGTGAACTGCACAGAGTAATCGCCACCTGGATGTTTGTCAGCTGCGCCTTGCGCCCCTCACAAGCGGACGAGGTCTGCAAACCCGTGCTCGCGTCGTACCGAACAAGCTGAGCCTGGTCCCGCTTGGCGTTCTTGTTGATGACAAAGACGCCTTGCCCCCCTCCTCGTGTCAGCCAGGGTGCCTCGAAGCCTCGAAGTTGCAATCGCAGCTCCTCCTGGCATTGCACCTGGAGGCATCATCTTTGCGGCCAGCCTCGGCAGAAATGCCGAGCATTCTGCCACTGGGAACTGAACATTCCCGACGTCCAAGCACTTCGCAGGTTGCACTGGAGGAGCGGAGAGCGGGCACTTGCACTACGAGCCGAAAACGTAGTCAAAACACTGCGCTTTGATGCAACGTGATACGTCATCGACATGGCTTACAGGCTGGAGATGGGACATGCCCGCAACCTCACCCTGCAAGCCTCTAGGAAAGGCCAGGACCAAGCATCGTGCGCGCATTGCAGCTCAGGACTCTTGCTCTCTGGACTTGGCACCAATGATGCACTGCTTTCGATTTGTGCGATTTGTGCTTCAAGCATGCCGATGATCCCAGCAGATCATCCGCCCTCCTGCAATCATGTTCCTCACCAACCTGAGCCTGAGCTGAACCAGAGAGCACGTGAGCTTGAATCTGGAAATCGCTTCATTGCGTCGCTGCTGCAAGTCAGATGCAGAGTGCATGTAGAAGCTTCTCTCCTTTATGTTCTCCCTCGAGAATGCCCACACTTTGGCAGGACTTGCACCAGCAAGGTGCTGAGCTGGCAGGTAGGCACCCTGTTGGCACCAGAATGCCATCGTCCGCCTACATCATCTGCTCCCTGATCAAGAACAGCGTGGTTGTGCCGATGTGCTGTTGTGATCTGTTGTGCTGTCGTGACATCGATGCAGGCCATCCGAGCTCCAGGCTGAGCCGGCGCTCTGCTCGGGCCCTGCGCAACACACTCGACAGAGTTCTTCGGCTTTCTTCTCTGCACCTTGCACTTGCACTGCCTGCGCATCCTCCATGGTGCAGGGCGCTGTATTGTAACCGCCTTTCATCTTCCTCAGCACACTTTTGATTGACTCTCCAGGGTTTGTGACAGCATCCTGAGCCACCGACAGCACCTGCTGCCCTGCCTGACAGGGGTTTATTTAGCTTTGCCGCCCACGATCACAGTGCTACCATTGAAGCAGTCGTGGAGTGCTTTCTTGCTAATCTTCGTGATTGCGGCCAGGCGTTCATGCAAAACATGGCATGCGACATCATCTTGCAAGAGCTTGGATCTGACAGCTTCGACCCTGGCACCCGGTGCTTTGCTGCGAAGTCGCCACACCCTTCCACACGGGGGATGTTGGCCACAGGTCAATTTAAGCCGGCACATGTTCCCAACAATGACAGTGGGTGCTTGCAGCACGGGTGATTTTGATGCACAACCCACTGCTCTCCCTCAATCCGGGATCGCGTGGGCTGCACATCATCGAAAGTCCTTCATCACACGAAAACCAGCAGCACGGACGATACTGAACAGAGCGATGCCCCCACACTCATTGGACACTCAAGCCAATGCCTCAACGCGTAACCGGTAGCAGAACCAGAAAATCCGTAGTGTTTGGGACTGTTGTGGGCCATCGAGATATGGGACCACTCTCCCACACAGAGTAGAAGCAGGTCATAGCAAACTAACGACAACCTGGGCTTGGTTCAAAAGTTCTTCACATGCATCGTAATCCGATCATCAGCACTGGCTTCCGCAAGCCAGCCGAGATGCTTGTAACCTTGAGGAGTGAGGACAGCAAACGTGGACTACCAGAGGAAGAGAGAGAGAGAGAGAGAGAGAGAGAGAGAGAGAGACAGACAGACAGAGAGCGAGCGAGCGAGAGAACTTTGTGAACAACCTTCGAAGCGATGCTCGCGAAGCTGAAGGACCACGACCCAAGGCTTTGCCTGCATCTGTTTCTTCAGGTTCTCCACGAAGAGCATCTGAGTCTTCAGGAAATCCACCTTGTCCTCATCGGAAAGGCGCTTCACCCACGCCAGCCTGGCCAAACAGCGCCACGAACATCCGTGGACTCCAGCAAAGTGCCAGAGGCGGAGAAGGGAGAGGCAAAGCGAGCGAGAGAGTCGAAGCAGCCGCACAACAAACCCCAAGTCTCTCTCCTGTCCCCTTGCATCGCGGCACCTGCCATCTGAAGGAAGGCCCTGGAAAACCTGCACGAAGGCAACGCAGTTGAAGTCCGGATCTTACACTTTAAACTTTGGACACTTTCAATGCCACACGCTTAACGTCAATTGATGTTGGAATTTGATGTGTACGCGATGATACCTGCGCCTGTTTCCTCCCTCACACTTTTGCCACTCGGTGAGCAACATCGCCTCCAGCTTCTTCATGGCCTTCTCTCCCAGAAACGCCTGCTTCCTCAAATCAAAGAGACACGGAACATTGGTAGTACTTCCTTGTGAGGTGCCGCTGTGGCAAGTAAGTTTGAGGCTCTTCTTCCGACATCTTGCTCACCTCCTCCTTGGCCTTTGCAGGGCAAGCTTGGGAAGCCAAACAACAAAACACTCCAACACCGGTCCTTGGGGATGACTTTCTCCATGGCCAGTGCAAGGTCTTTGTCAACCACAGGCCTGGGGAAAGGGGCCCAGTACACAGGGCGCAACTTGGCAAGATCAACAAGGAGAAGGCAGTGAGAGGCAAGGTCTCAGACGTTGTTGGCATTTCCGGCGCCTCGCCTCCAGCGTCCTGGTCGGCGCTTCAGGACCTATGAGAGATCTCGTGCCCAGCTCAGCCGCGCTCCTGGTGAGCCTTCACAGCTCTCAGGCAGCTTTGCTCTGCTTTGGATTTCCAGATTTTCATCTTCTGAGTCACCTCGACGTCATTCGGATAGTCCTGATTGTGGAGGGTGTGGTCTGAAGGGCGTGCAAGCAGGTGGTCTTTTGCTACACGTCTCCTGCCCAATTCTTGACAAAACGGCGCAGCCATGCTCCTGCTCGAATCCCAGATCCTGTCTGATGCAAGAGAGATGAGGACGTGCTGCACGCTGCGGCGCCATAGTTTCTGACAAAGCAGACCTGCTTTATGCCCTACACGTTAGATCCGAGAGAGCACAGAATGAGCACGGATCTTGTTGCTCGTGTCCTCCAATAGCTCTCTCTGTATTGAGATGATGAGCTCGTTCGGGATCTGATTCAAACACTACATGTCAGAGACTCTGTTCGGAATGCCTCTGCTTGGCGCTGCCTTCTTCTGCTCTGCTATGTATGTCAGAAGCTCCTGACCAAGCTACAACAAACACGTGCCAGTGTCGCCACATTCAAGAGAAAGCCGTCTGTCTCCCATGCGCAAACTCTTGGCTGAGCAGCGCTAACATCGATCCATGCCATGGGCCTTGTGCGTCTCTGGCAGATCCATCCTCCCGACTTTAAAAGCAGTGTCAGGCTCAACAACCCCGTTCGGTCGCACGGATGTGATGCACAGAAGAGTCCTCGTGTTGCAGACATCGAAGAATTCTAGTATTTTTGCCTCAGGTGCCGAGTATGCATTGGAGACGACAGCTTGAGGTACTGCTGATTTTGCCAAGCAAGCGTGCTGCTCGTGAATCGCTAAGACTCGTGCTCTGGGCATGGGCTCTTTGCTTTCAAGCACTGCAGGCCTTCTGTCTTTCACTGCCTGCAAATACCTCTTCAATGGCACAATGGCACAAAAGCGGGGTCAGTACAGTCGGTGCGGCACTTGCAGCAAAGGCACGTCCGCATGGCTGTCAACATGAACTCTTGCCGTACTTGTATCAGCTCTTTGTTTCCTGCAGGCGAGCGATATCCTTTAAGCAACACGGAGACATACACTGATTACGAATAGTTACTAGTTAGTGCCGACAACGACCGAAGTGCGGCAATCAGCAGGCTTCAAGCGCGAGAAATGACAGACCGGCGACTGTCGGCAATTGATTCGAGCAGGTCAGCGTTGTCCTGCGTCCGCGCCTTGCTTGAGTGGGAGATGAGCGTGCATGCCACTGGCAACAAGAACTGCCGCACAACGGGTGCAATGGGATATCCACCGAGCCACAATCAATCTGATCCAAAGCTTTACAGCCGACGTCAGCATCGTAGCCCAAGGGAGCCCACCTGGAGCGCCCAACGACAAATCTGTCAGTACTACTTTGGCTGGCTACACGGAACGATGTGGGCAAGAAATGAATGTCAGCAAATGGGGCTTTTTGTGCACGTTGGAACATTCGCACAAACCGCGATGCGTGTGTGCGTGTGTGTGTGTGTGCTCAGTGCCAAGTTCTGCCAAGCAAGGACGAGCGTTGTACTAGCAATGACTGACTCACCCATTCAATGCAACATGCCGAAACACATAGTAGACTAACGAAAATTGACCATGCCGATCCACCCTGCTCGCTGGAGATCAATCAGCTTGTGGCCAGCGTGCGGTAGAGCTCCGTCCTGATCACATGTGTCCGATCTGCTCGACGGCTCACTTCTTGCAACAGCTCCGCGATGCCTTCAACGCTGCGCGGGTCTCTTCAGTCTTCATCATTTTGATCTGAAGCAAGGTACCGCATGACCAGCTGTGGAGAGAGAGAGCGGGGAAGCTTGATTCTCACGGAAGGAGAGAACAACCAAGATCCGGACACCAGCCCGCAGGAAGTCGAGCATCGCCTGCAGTAGGCGACGTGCGCTGTCTTGCCTAGATTCAAACACCTCCGTGTTCACTTCATGGGCAGCTGCACCTGTTTGGTTGGAGTCTTCGGCATCGTGTGATTTTCGCCTGGGCTGCAAAGGAAGCAAGCCTAGAGCCTTGCCTTTATTGCACTGCTAAGGACCTAGCGTTTGTAAACGGGCGCAGGACTCACACGAAAGAGTCAGAGTCGACAAGGGTTGCGTGTTGCTGAACGTGAGTGTCGGAGTGACTGCATGCGCTGCTTTTCGCCGTGTCTGAGCCCAAGCAGCTGAGGATGCTGGACAACCGGCTTAAGGCGTGTTTGCACCACCTACTTGTAACCTGCTTAGCGGCTTAGCGATGATGGCCAAGTTTTTCCTTGCAAAGGCAGGCAATGGTCTTTGGGAATGGAGCTGCGACTCTACGAGTCGAGAGGTCCAGGCAGCCGACAGTAAAATCGATGGAAACCTGCAAAAGCACTGGCTTGCGTGGGGCTTCAAGCGCTTATTGGTGATAGGATGCCAGCCTGACAAGAAGTTGCCACACCAGGAGAACAGCTGTGACCCCAAGAGCCCAATTCCAGGAGGCCTCCATGGCTCAGACATGCTCAGACTTGAACCATCTTGAACCCAAGCATTGTCAAACGTGCTCGGACCTCTCGTAATCATAGCGAAAGACCAGCACCGCAGCCATACCTTAACATTCAGTTCCTACTGGATGCTTTAGCAACTGTCGCCTTTGCAATGCCTTGGTCTACGCCACCAAGTTGCGATCGTAGCGACGGTTTGCTGCAGTGCGGTGCAGGAGCCTGACAAAAGAGAACCGGCCACGGGCGGCCACGGGCCCAGGACGAGAGGCTACCGGCTTCTGTCAGGGCCTCGAGTCGTACAAGAAGGCATCTCCAGGCTCCAGGGTCACAGCCTCCGCGGCAAAATGGGGGGATCCAAACGCTCCATTGACTTTAAACAGAGCAAAATTGGGCGCTCACGGGTCGAGAACTTGCTAGCAGCAAGGAAGACAAGGAGGCGCGCGTCTTGGAAAATAAACCCAGCTCCTCCAACAAAGCAAGTACTGGCTTTAAAGCATGCGGGATTCATGGCCTGGCTTGCATCAACCCAGTCAAAGTCACTAAACCTGCAACGCCCTAAACCAAGCCAGAAGATGACCGAAGCCCCGACCCGCAAAGAGCTAATCCAAGCCCTCGCGGCCCTAGCGATTGCGGTCGCCGACGCTTCCGAGCAGAGCGAAGTCGACTCCGAACAGGCCCACGAGGCTTTTGGCCGCTGCAATCACAACGAAGCCAAGAACGCCCGAGGCGTCTTGTCTGCGAAAGACCCAAGACCGCGGAGGGCACTGCAACGCGAGCCGCAAGAAAATGGAGCGGACGCGAGTGTACTCTAACCTTCAGTCTTGCACGTTGTGTTCGATGTCATGAGAACTGGGACATGATGTTGCGAACGAGACAACATAACAATGGTCTGGTAAACTGCCCACATCATTTCGAGAAAAGCGAGGGAACTTGTTGCATGGATGCTGTGGAGCGGTAGGTCTCACTTGACCGTAGCTGACAGCTCAGCCTGCAGTAAGGATATATATATATATATGCGGGAAGAAGCAACACATACTATATGGCAATGGGCAAGCCTGGCAACGCCAGAACCTTCAACCATCCTATAGACTTTATGGACACGCAGAATAGACTCTGCAATGCTGTCAAGTCTCAAAACGGAGAGCACTGTGGCTCGGAATGCTCGGAAGGCTCCGAATCATGCGAAGAGTTTCGGCTTGGCTCTTTTGGAATGTTGGGTTGGCCAGTTCCAGGCTCCGTCATGGCTGGACAACGCTTTGGGATCTGACGTCTTTGCAGTCGAACACCGCGGCTGCTCCCTGTGCTCTTGTTCCGGGGCGAACTTGGAAACACGACTCCGTTTCTGTTACATGGGCTGCATGGGTATCGGCCGTCCTGTCCGAAAAGACGATGGGAGCCGGGCAGCACCAAGGTGGCCCCCATGTCCTGCATCTCGAAACGAGGCTGAGGCACCGCATGAAGTCTATGTCGTAAATCCACGTTGCACACATCTCACGAGACCCCATAGGCAAACACAAGAGAGCCTCAGGGACGGCAGTTAGAGGTACCACCAGAGTCAAGCCGGGAGCTGTGTTGTCCATGTGCCAGAACCTCAGAAATCAGCACTCCATTCTCCACACCACTCACTCAACCTGCCTTGCAATGGGAAACAGGCTGGTCTGTGGCACAAGGATCCGAGGTCATCAGCTGGACCTACAATGAAGCCGTCATTCTTCCTGAACTTGCGATTGCTGATGAGGCCTCAGAGACATACGGCTTCGTCGTCTGCAGGAAACCTGCCTTGGCATGTTCTGAGCTGAACCAAGCAACTCTCATTCGACGCTGCAAGAGACTGGTTGACATGAGCTCGTTGCCGCGCTGTGCTGGCGGCACAGCACCTCCCAAACCTGTGAAGCACTCGGCAGTGCACGGATGACACCGGACGTTTTTCCAGCCGAGAAAAACTGCTGTCTGCCGTTCACATCGGGAAACCAGCGGCATGGCCGCCCTTTGAGCTGCTTGCACGGCCTGCTAGTATCTTGGACCACTGCACTTTCAAGTCCCCCAAGATCGATCTTTGAAGGCTCTGTGCCTGTTCGAAAACTCTCCCGCGAAGATAGTAGTGTTGTCGACCGGGTGCCGACATCTGGTCAGCAATTCAAACTGCTGTGGTGCGTCTCGATCTTTCCTGTCAATGTCTCAGCGCGCGCACGAAAGGTTCGAGTTCCTCATCCTCGGCCTGTTGCAACACAAAGCTACACAGATGCATGGAGGACGCAGGGGGCCCATGAGTCTCTTCTTAGCTGCAAGGCCTTGCCTGCAGAGCTTCAGGTTTGAACTCACGCACGGGCACTGCTTCTGGAGGGCATCTACCTAAGACGAAACACCAAAGACCTGCCTGTGCTACCGTACTAGCAATACATCGCCCGGGAAGCTGGCTGCGAGCGATGTCCATCGCACTACTGTGGAGGTGGACTCGCTCGCGCAGCTCGCCCACCTCTTGCTTGGCAACTTCCCGCTATCCTCAAATCCGCGGGTAGAGGCCTCCTTCAATGTTAGCATTCCTCTCAGCACTGCCACACCGTGCCTGAGTTCCAGGAGCTCTCCTCTACGCCTCTCCTCTACGTCTTCCTCAATGGAGCGTCCGGGGGAGGGACCTTTCCAAAGCATCGGCTGCAGCGGACCATTCCTACGGAAGACGACATGTGCATATTCCAACCAGGCGATGCTCCAGGGTCCTCTGGAGGGAGAAATCGTGGAACACTTGCAGGATCTGTGCCAACCTGTCTCAGCATGACAGACAATGACAAACTCTGGATTGCGGAAGTCCAAAGTAGCACTCTCAAGACGCGTGTATACCTACCAGTATCAAGGCCTCACGGCCGACACAGAACATGCGTGATGAGAAGGCAGGGAGGACAGAGTCATGATAAAGAAAGGCAGATCAGAATGTCCTCGCTATCGGAAGGCGACACACCGTCACTGTTCAGGGTCGCGCAGACAAACCTATACCACGTCTGCTTGCGCTAATGTGCTTGCCTTCTCCTTCTCTGCGAGAAGACAGAGGGGCACCTCTCCAGTTGCGCTTCTGCAAGAAACTCCAGCCCAACGGCGGGATGCAGCGGGCTCGCCTCGCTGCCGATGTCTCGCCCGTAGGACTCATCGATCTACCACACAGGCGAGTAGACATCACAAGCCCGGAGACAAGATTTTGTACACGTGCGGTTACCTGCGTTACGAGGTCGATCCCTGAGTTGGCGGCCCGCGGCCTGCAGGTTGCACTCGGCAGAATGCCAGTGGCTGTGCGGGGCAAGGGGTGAGAGTCCGAAGGAACTGCATAAACTGATACTGGTGTCGCAGTTGCTGCATTCAGCCAGTAACGTGAGCAAAAGACTATCCAGAACAGCAGCAAGGACTGTGCCGATCATGAGCGTCCTCTTTGCTTCCAACGGTTCTCGGAAGAAGCCAGCTTGCCTCCACTCCTGAACCCGTAGCGCCAGGTTGCAAGAAGAAGAGAATCCTAATATTTCTCTTGCAAGCTTGAACGCCCCAGTTGCAGTACTTGCGCTTTGCATTCTACACCATCCCTAGCTATGTGCTGTGCGCTGGTACCCTCGCTCCTCAACGAATCGCGCGTAGAGCGCTCGAACATCCTGAGTGAGACAACGGATATGCAAGCGTATCGTTGTAGCTCGTTGAACGAGGCTCAAGTCCTGGATCTGTTGAAGCTTCCTTTCTTCTAGCTGGCAGCGCATGAGATCTCGCCTGCAGCTGCGGGAAGGACGCTGGTCTGCCGCCATGCCATGCTTCTCCAAACTACGGTACCTACGGCATGTCTCTCCGCAGGGACCCCTGAGCCATCAGCTCAATGGGCCCACGAAGCCGACGTGCGGCAAGCCGCAAAGCCTCCACCTCTGCTGCCTCCGCGCCGGCCTCCGGCATGCTTCGCAAAAGATTCTCTGCGTGCTGGGCCCTGCTGGGCTGCCGACACTGCGGAGTCGCTCTGCCACAGATCCTGTGCTCTCAGGCATCCCCCATACCGATCCCGCAGCAAGATGGAGGGTGTGCTCCTGGCAGCTTGGTATCAGCTGCGCACCTGTACCACAGAGTGAAAATCGCGGAAGAACGTCTAGAGAATCCGGTCGAGGGGCAGCCTGAAAGTACAAGATGCCGCGAGGAGGTCACCTTTTGGGGACACCTTGGTCGACGACTTGGGAGCTGCGCGGGCGCAGGCCGATGCCCTCAGGCTAAGGTTCATGCTTGCTGCTTCCACAAGATGAGTGCGCCTCCCGGGCCACCAGATTCGTGTTTTGCTCTGCTTGTTAAGGGCTCTGCGGCCTGTGCTCACAGCGCTGGCCGCCACAAACGGAAGAGATCGGCGACCAAGACTTTGCCAGTCGATTTTCTGCACACGTTTACAACCACTGCGCACTGCAACAGACGTGGCTTAAGTGCCTACCATGCCCCACGAGGTCAAACAAACAGATATGACAGTTCATGGGAACCCGTCCATCTTCGTGAAGTCGTGCCATGCTTTGCGGAACTCCAGCGTGACACCCTTAGTGCAATTCGTGGGGTTCGCGCGTTGACCCTAGGGTCTGCAGTCGAGGCAAAGAGGGCAAAGAAACCGCCTCCATGACGATGGAAGTCCAACCCCATAGCACAACTGGACTGTAATGCCACTGGCACTGTACAGAAATGTCACTACTTATGCATCTGCCGGACTGATGCAACAGCTTGTCCAACAGTGACGAGTCCCATTTGCAGCGCATGATGCAGAAGTGCACTAGAGCGAAAGCATCATGCAGGTTTTGGGTTCAGGCAATGCCGGTGGCTTTTAGGCTACACGCCAAGATGTCTCCGATCAAGCTGCTTCAGCCAAGCAGGGCTCGAAGATGCTGAAAGAGTTCAGGCATGAGGATTGCAAGCTACATGTTGCAAGGCTGACCATAAGCACAACCATGTCGATCGTGCATATGTCATATGTGCATCCTGACAGCTTTCGTCCGAGTTGAGACGATGCGCACATTCTGCTTGCACGCATTGATCGCCGCGTTGTAGCTGTACTCATCTGGCTGCACGCGCAGCTTTGCAATGTCGCTGAGGAGCTGCAAACAAAGCTCCCACTTTCCTCCGGATTCCAGAGATGCCATCATTGCATTGAAAGGAATTGCATCTTCGAGAAGACGCATGTCGATGATCGTTCTCAATAGACAAAGTGCACCAGACCACTCGCTTGCCTTTGCATAGGCACTGATCGCTGCGTTGCAGCCGATGCAGCTGGCTTGCATGCTCTTCTGAAGAGTGGAGCCCAGCAAGGCCTGCGCCAGCTCCCATTTCGCCGATTTCTCACAGGCACTGATGGCGCCATTGCAGCCAATGTCGTTCGCCAGCTGCATCTGCAGCAGTGACCACTCCCAGTGATAGGCCTTTTCCCCGGCGCTGATGGATGCACTGAGGCTAAACGCATCCATGCGAAGGCCGATCTCGCTTGCAGAATAGACACAATGAGATGCCAGCTCCCATTCTGCTCGCTTCTCACAGGCACTGGCTGCTGCGTTGTGCATCACAAGATCGCCTTGTACAGCCACGACATGCGAGTTTTGCAAGAGCGTAAGGGCCCATTTCCACTCGAATCCTTTCTGGCTGGCACTCAGGCATGCAGTCTGGCTCTGGATATCTGGCTGCAGGTTGTAAATCCTGATGCTCCTTGTAAGTTGCAGCGCTACAATCCAGTCTTCTGGCCGCTCGCAGCTGTTGAGCACAGTGCCCCAAGTTACTGCATCTGCAAGGAGCGTGAATGGCTTCAGGTGCACCAAAACCTGTGCAACATACTCCCACCCACGCGATCTGCATGCACGGAGAGCGGCATCCATGCCTTGCTTCGCAACATCACTCATGACACTGATTTTTTCGCAGTGAAAGTGTTGTATTCAGGGAAACTCTCATCCTGAAGCAAAAGGCTTTCGACTGGAACCTGGCCGCTAGCCTTATCTTTTTCAATGTTCATGGCCGCCATCTCTCCAAGCGACGCAGTCGCCAACCTCAGAAACAATTCAGGAGGGTACTAGAAAGAAAACAGCGAAGCCAAGACTCCAAGACTCGTCGAAGACTCGATACCTTCGAGACCGAGGGGCTCCCAGCTCTCTGTCTCCAACGCAGCGACTACTGAGCCGCAGGAGATCCTGTTGGGACGAAGGTGCCGGACCTCTTCGTTGAATCGAAGCGTGTGCGCCCGTTGCATAGCACAAAGCCCTCACAGCAAACAACTTTCTGCCCAGGCGCAAGCATCTGACCAAGGACCTGCAACCCAACCATCCAGGATCCCAGCCGGCCCTGGCAGACACCGAGAACCGAGCTGCAGCAAATCGCATCTGGCCTTGGAGACTGCGTTCTAAATTGGAAGATGCAGCACCAAATCAGACTAGAACTCTGCCACTTAATCTAGGCTCATGTCGTTGGAATCTGCCGCAACGACCTGTTTTGCAAATCGAGCAGCAGGAGACCGCAGGCACACATCTTGTCGATGCAGCCTGACACTTGTTGGGAACAGACCTGCAATCAACTCTTATGCGTCTAGTGCGCTGCTGACAGCAGCAACCAGAACGTTCCAGAGTCGGATCGGAGGTTGCACGATGTCCCATCGAGTCCCGGCTAGACCAGGAGAAGGCCAAAGGAGTCTCCGAAACGATTCGATGAACTGAAACATCCTCAAAACTTTCTGAGGTGGATTTCGAAAGCTACCCTTCGATGCAAAGCCTTTCGGTTCATGCCAATCCCGAGTTTCCATTGCGCCTTGCTTCTCAGGCTGCCTTTGAAGTCACAGCAGAAGCTTTTCTGGAATCCAGTTTGCCTGTGCTAGCATTTTGAGCGGCCCGATTGCAGCAATTCCTTTGGCTGCACGACGAATGAAAACGGATGGAGGTTGTTTTGCCGTATTCGTCTTTGCTATTTGCAGTTGTTGTTGGTCGTTGTCCTACCGTGCAAAGCAACCCTTACGGGGCAGCCGTTGCAAATCCCGAAGCCCTTACGGCAAAGGGAAACCCCCTTGTAGAGAACCTTTACATGAATTAGCACAAATGGGGGGAGCCTTCTTGCCGGAGCTGTCCCTGCGAATGTGTGTCTAGTTCTAATTGCCTTCTCAAGTACCCGATCTTGGATCATCCAAGCAAAGCTTCCATTCCCTCGACACATTACCAAGAGCTTCCTGCGTTTTTGCAACACCTCTCCTTCCTGGTTCCTCCAGCCTACCGGAAAAACCGCTAATTCCGGATGGGTGTTGAAAGGATTCACATAGGTCGTGCTTAAAAACCAGCTTGCCCGGCTGCAGCAACCCACCGTCTGCAACAGAATGCCCGCACAATGGCTTGCAAAGGACTCGAACGCCTGTGATTTAAAGCAGTCCTAATCTTGCCCGGCTGAAAACAGCGGGTTACTTGGGCGCAACTCCCCCCCCCCCCCCCCCCCCAACACCCAGTTGCAACGCAACGCTCTTGATGGATTTGGTAAGGATTCACATGATTTTATTTTAAAGGAGAAGTTGGGCTAAGGAGGGGCAACCTGCCCTCATTTGCGACGCAACACGGATTTGGCAAATAAAACGAACCGACCTGCCTCAACGGGGTCTGTAAAACGCGGGGAAGGCTGCATCCTCACCGAAAACACCAAGCTTGCTTTGAAGCACGGACCATGTGAATCCTTTCCAATCCCACCGCACGAGCATTGCATTGCAAGTGGATGCTTTACCCTTCTTCGAAGTCGGGTAAGCTGGTTTGAAAGCA